ATTTATTTCATCCCGATTACAATACTTTTCAACCCAATAAGAAATGTTCTTAATATTTTCTAATCAGAATGCTCGTTTGGCTTACATTTTGACAGTCCTTGCTGCTTGATTGGCTGAAGATGGCTGCTTCCGCGAATCTCTATATATATAGGATTATTAATCTCAACATCCGTATGACGAAGTAAATCCAATGACGTATCGATGCGTTTGTACGAAATTTAAACTCGTAGCACGAATTTTGAATCAAGAAGCAGTGTTGTATATTTAAGGTTCAATTTACTTTGATGTTTTTTGGAAAATTTCAAAAGCAGTTTTTTCCGACGCATTATTTCAGATTGCAAAAAGCTCATACTATTCTATTCCTTTTGATATTTTACAGAAAATGACGCGAGCTTTTTGCAATCTAAAATAATGCGTCGAAAACAACTGCTTTCGAGTTTAAAAAAAAGCATCAAAGTAAATTGAACCTTAACAAAATATAAACAATGTATGACTCGTTATCAAACCGAACGGTACAAACGGAAGGATAAATAAATTTAGAAATCATGCTTAGAAGCAATATTCCACCCGATCGAAAAAAAAAAAGAAAAACTACGGCTAGCGCTTAGTAGACCGGAAATTAGATTTTAACCCTATTTTAAACATATTTCGTGCAATACGTTTAACTTTACATGATCAATAATATAAGCTTTTTTTTCGATACCTGACGTTCCGTTGTAATAGAAGCGAAAATTTCTTTTCCGAACGGTGAACAAATAACCCAAGATAAAATTGAATACATTTCAAAATAAAAACAGTTAAACATTTACAGGTATACCTCGATTATATGCACATGACACTTCTTGACAATTGCAACTCAATCACTAAATCCAAAAGTATCACCTTTCAAACGAGACATTCCCTTATCTATTGGTAATATTACTATGTTTAATTAAGATGCGGTTGCTTAGAAATCATCGAGTGTGCATTTAAACGAGGTATACCTGTATTCATTTTACTCATTTGGGATAACATACACACGTGTGAAAACCACTGACAAATATGTTGGCACACTTCATAAACTACACAGTGGCTAAGAACGGAAACATGGGTGAAAACATCTCTAAAACAATATATAAAACTGAACATTGCATTAGGTCCTAAGTAAGATTGACAGATTCTCTCCGTAGACTTTCTCTTTGTATCCCCACGGCCATGTAAAGACATTCCCAGGTATTTTAAGCACACATATTGATAAAAGAAGCTTTTATCTAGCATCTAATACGACATACACAAAAAGAAACGGTTATGTGCTCAAGTTATTGACGAAAGAGAAAGTCGACGATCAATGTTACTTAGGACCTAATACAATGTTCAGCTTGATATGAGATAGTGTGTTAATGTATTCTGGCTAGACATTTCTTTTTGTTACGGTTTGGCTGCGTGGAAGGCTTTTCAAAATCCTTGCAATAATATTATTTGCACTCTAACTTTTGAAATTTTTGCTGTTGTAGAACTAACGAAAACTAAATATTGTAAGTAGTTATTTTTTTAAACGAAACTCGGTTATTGTTTCATGATAAAAAATCTCTTGTTTTTTACCGGCTTCTAAAGTTCATAATAAAAAATCAAAACAAATAGCCAGCTTCGCAAGCAAATATTCAAACCAACGTAAATGCTTTAAAAAAAAATACTTCAAGTTTCAACTTATTGAACCTGATAGGTTGATCAAGCAAACTAACAACACTTTCAGGGCAAAATTTTCCCTTTCATTAAAGTGGTATTAGTTTGTGTGAGCGAGCTATCAAATTCTACAATGAGCATTCATAAAGGCGTATTCGCGATAATCGATTCTCTTCATCGATTTTCTTTTTGCATTGCTACAGGTAAACGAAACAATTTTCTAGAATCTGTTCAATGCAGAGTTGTAACATGTTGTATTGGCTATCAACAACAACAGCAGACGGACCGAGAAACGTTAATTGTAGCGAGTTATTAACAAACGAGAAAATGGATGAAGAGAATTGATCATCGCGTTTACGCCCTTATACATGCTGACTGTCGAATTTATGATTGAAGTAATTTTTAATGAAAGTAACTTAGGAAATGCTTTCGGTAACGTGGGGCTTTAGGTAGTGATGAAACGTCGCTAGAACTATTCCACAGCCGCAGACAGTCAATCAAGTCAAACGCGCACCTTTTTGCTTGTAGATTTGAAGAAAGTTCTGTTGTTGTCTTCAAGTCTCCTCATTCATTAATGTCTGAGTTAGGTAAAGACGTGTGCGTTTGACTGGTACTGTCGCATTAATAGACCTTCGCTCATTTTCAACTTCTATTTAATTCTCATACTGCCGTACTCTAGCGGAACTATCAACCTACCTTCTTCAGACTTTTCTCTAGTTAATAAATTATCACACTAAAGCTTCATGTTAGAGAGCATTTCCAACCAACTCTGAAAATCGTAAATTTGACGTATGAAGTAACATAAAACACTTTGAATGTAACTTTCGTTAATTTAAACATTTTCTCGAGGCTTGTTCACATCATAAATGTAGATAAGCATTTCAAAAGGTTCTATCTTTATTGATCGTTTCTCTTCATCGAATTAATATAAAAAAAGGTGATTAAGATAATCGATCAATACAATATTGATATTTGGATACCAAAAGAATACCTGTGTGGGATCATTTTGGTATTGCATTTGCTACACTAGATATTGGAATGATATTGTGGGAGAATTTTTTACGTCTAATGCATACCAATTTATGGTATCGAGATCAGTGCTGTTAATTTTCATATCATTCTATTGAAGATGAACCAATACAACCATTCAATCAATTCTGTAAAAACGAATTCTCACATGACCAACATTTGAAGAGTCTATTTCTCATTCGAAGCTCATCGTCACTGTCAATTGAGTCACTAACTATCATTTAATATACGACAGTGGAGTATGGAAGAAACCCAGAAAAAATGGTCCCGAACAGACAAGTCGACCCGATGTCAGATCAATCTAAGGCAAATTGAGAATCGATATCGACCCAATGTCGTGTTGTTGTCGGGCAAATTGTTAACATCGGGTTGGGGTTTGGTAGAAGTCAGGCTGGTGTCGGGTTGGCTTAGCTTTTTCGCCGGAATGTCGATCAGATCTCCGTTTATGTGTAGGTTACACTCAATTGAATGATATCAAGCGTTTCTTCGTCAAATGACTAAGCAACTGATCGAGATATTCGTTCCTGCTCGGGCAACGAAGTTGTTTTCTATAGTTTTCACAGTCTAAGTCCCAGGTTTGGTAAAAAATAAGCGATTTTTAAATTTACAAGCAATTGAACAGTTTCGGACCGTTTCCTATCCAATTTATATAGGTCTCCCGCAAATCCAGATCGTAAAAAATGCGTTCAAATTTGGAACAGTTGTTGGGGACCTCAACACGAATCGAAAAAGCTGTGGGGAGTAGGGGGATGTTATGTTGACCCACCCTAGTGTTCATACTATTCAATCCATCATTTACCGGACTAACGAGAAACAGGGACCTCATCGAGGAAGTCTAAACGAAGCGTTTTCGTATGAATGCTTGTATGAAAAAGTTGTTTCGTCTTGGTTACATTACATTTTAGGCGTTGTGATGTGAGTGCGTGAAAATGAATGGGAATCTGAAGCGTGTGCTTTGTTTTTCTGATTCGCACGCGAGTTTATTCTCTCACTGTTCGACAACGGGACTAGTTACAGCAATGCTAATGAATATATGTCATTTTAATTGTAGCTTGCTAGGCTAATGTATTTTTGATATGTTTTATTTAATAATCACACAATGAAGAAAGAGCTATTTTATTCCAGAAATTTTCATTTTTTCTTTTTGGAAATAATATCCAGTGCAGATTTCGGTAAAATTATGCAAATGATGTTTTAAGACCAACATACACCACCGAAAACCTTTTTAAAGCTTTAGGGCCTACCACTGCATTTCTCGGTTTCTTTCGAGGGCAAGAAAAATTGTATTATTGATCGTCGTATTTCATGCTGAAGCCAAAATACTTACCTTCAATGTATGTGCCGTTCGGTTTGTGTGCAAAGAAAGGAAGAGCTTCTAAAACAAAGAACATTATTCCTCAGCTAAATCTGCTAAGCTACAATTCGTTTGTATGTAAATTTTTATAATGGTTTGGCTGACTATCTTGGACCACCTGTTCACATATATTTCCCACGAATACCGGTTCAGTTTATTTATTCATACAATGTACTTACGTACCGCCAAGTTTATAAAGTCGATCTTCAATAAGTCTAGATAGAGCTGGAATTAGGGCGTAACAGCTTTTGTAAACAATGACTTCTCTCGATGATTTCTAGAAAGCCAAGGCTCGCCCACTCAAATCAACGTCACCATCGGGTAGGGGAAGACTTCCTCTTCCCGTTGGTTATGTTGGGTGGCGTGGGCGTGCCTTGAGTTTCGAGAAATCATCGAGAGAAGTCATTGTTTACAAAAGCTGTTTCGAAGTCTGGTTTTATCTCAAACACTAGATGGGATCTAATTGGTTTTTACTTTCACACGTCAAGCGAGCTAATTATCAGCGACTCAAGGTTTAGACTTCTGAGTGACGATAACGATTAATGTCGCTTTTTGGTATCGATTACTTTGGCTACCAACATGTTATCCTTCTTGCGGAGAATTTCCACATTAACCGAAATCAGCATTATCATACTTTCCTTAAAATATTTTTACGACTCCTAATAATAGTCAATTTAAAATAAGCATGAGTTCAAACTATCCGATTACAAACATGAAAAATATGCTGTTACCAAGCAACGCTACCAACAGTCATCTCAGGTAGCTTTTCCGCTTCTTCGCGCAAACTCATGCAGCGACCAAACCATCATCAAACTCTGCACCTCTGTCCTGTTATTCATAGCAAGTAGTCATTTTTCTACACATTCGTTCGTTCATTCATGCATTGTGCTGTTTCACCTTCCCTCTCATTATAACATTACACTTTTAATATTAGTTTTCATTACATTTCACTTACTCTTTTCGGTCTATTCGCTATGTTGTTGTGGTTGTTCTTGCTGTTGTTGTTGTTGATGGTACATTATAGATGCCTATAACCAATGCGCCAACAAGAGATCCACACGTTCACACATACACACACACACACACACCTGGTGACGAGGTGCCTCACCCGCAGCACTACACCGAAAAGCACAAATCTCGTACCTTCCAGTCACCCTCCTAGGCTGCTTCAGCCTGAGCTATGCTACACCAGGTTCAAGCGAAATCCACCGCACCGTAGATCGACCGACCGCCCGTGTGTGTTTGTCTCTACAGGCGATGATGCGACGAGGGTAAGGGGCTAGCAGAGAAAACGAGTTTCGCTTCGAATGTTTGTTGTAAGAAGCAAAAACTTTACACTAGGTACTTGCAGCGCTGGGTAATATCTTTTTTGCTTTTCTTCAATTTGCTCTTGTATTTTATTTTTTCGCCTTGGAAGCAAATCTTCTCACTTTTTTCTCTGATTGATTTCAATGCAATGTGAGCACTCTTCTTGGGTGAATTTTTCCCGATGATGGTACGAAACTTCAATCACAAGGAGATTCACTCCGATGCCTTCATGCCAAAAGCAACGTAGCAAGCACTTGAAACCACTTGAATGAAATGTAGACAACTGATCACAGATCTAAAACCCACGCGTTTTTTTTAGGAAAAACGGAAAGTAAATAAATCCAATCGAACAAACAAACCGATATCGCGAGAGAAAATAATTTCCGATCTGAGTGAATGGATTTTCTGTTTTGTTTGAACACTTCCCCGGTACTAGCTTGGAACAACTGCATACGGACGGCAATGCCTCTTTTGTTTTGGTCACCAACTTCGCCCAATCGGTCGTGCGATCGGTCAGTGCCAATTATTAGTCGTACGACTTGCCAGATCGGATTAAAAGAAAACCACTTCCGAAAACAACTTCAATCAGTAAAAACTTCGTCCCATCAGGTCTCTGATCACCATGCGCACATTCCTCGATTGGAAGGAAATGCCAACGCTCTATAGCCTGATTCAATCTGGGATTAAAAATCTAATCAAGAAACTCTGAAAATTACTTGACTACCACTTGACGTCACAAAAACTCGCAATATCACTGGACACACTATTACAGTCCCAGCGCGAAACCGCGCGGTACCAAATCTTCAGCTGATGCCCACTACTCTTCTGGTTAATACCATAACCAACAGAACGGGGAAGATGTGCACTGCTTTTGGGAGTTACATAAAAGTTTACCCCCAATGATAGGTACCACTTAGTACTAGAAGCATCTAAGCAAACCGTTCTTCAAACACAAAACAACGCGTCGCGAAACTTGACACAGTAGCCCGACACGATAGGGTGTGTGCGTGTTTACTCGCTGAGATAACTTTCGCGACTGATCCAAAACCTGCCAAACCGATTGAATGCTACTGACTGATGTGGGCAAATCTTACCTTAGGTTAATACACAACGAAGTAAGCAAGCGAGCGAGCGAACGAGCGAGCGAGCGGGGTGTGCAACATTAGAGCATATGCTCTCAGTCGATACAAACACTACTAGAAGAAGGCGGTAAAAGCGCAGAAGCTTTTTGCGGGAAGCTTTATGTTCAATTGACTGTCTATATGTAAGTCAAAAGCAGTACGGTGAGAGCATTAAAGCTCGCGGTTCGTATGTCGCACTACAGAGAGGAACTACAAGTGACATCGTTGAAGGTGTAGCTATGGGTTTTGAGGGGGTGTTTGCTTTCTATATACAGGTAAAATTCTATAAATGCGGTTAAATGGTAACACTTGGAACAAACCACGTTTTATACTTATACAGAACCCATATAGGGTATATGTACCAGTTATAGCTATATGTTCCTAATATGGTGTGAGATACCCACAGGCCATAATTGGACCACACCATAATTAGAACGTATAGCCATAGCTGGTACATCTACTCTACCATACACAGGATGGCCTAATCTGATAAGTTTCAAACGTATTAACTCGAGAGATGGAGAATAATGAAGAATATTGAGAGGTCCTGATCAGGCATGGAAAATCATTTGCATTCATTTCGTGCATTCATTTACATTCATTTGCTCCTAACTTTTTTCATCAACAGAACTCCGCAAAATAATGTATGAAGCTTTTGTAGGTTTTGTTATTAACTACAACTTTTGTCAACAACTCAAATCCGTATCTCTTATGCATGACGAACCAGAGCGAACAGAAGCCACTACTGTTTTTTAGTGAATGTATTTTACATTCACTGAAAAACAGTAACAAGTTCTGCCCGCTCTAATTCGTGATGCATAAGAGGTACAGATTTGAATAACAGGCAAAAGTTTTAACTAATAACAAATCCTAATAAAGCTTTATACATCATTTTGCGGAATGCTGTCGATAAAAAAGTTAGAGGCAAATGAATGTAAATGAATGCATGAAATGAATGTAAACGATTTTCCATGCCTGGTCCTGATTTCAATATGTTGTATGTTTAGGGTGAGTGGAGTGGTGGAGGAACTGAGACAATTTATTTATTGAAAAATAAATAAATGACGCATATGGTCTAAGCCAGGGAAAAGAGGAGCAGCAAAAAAAAATGGCGCATATATATTTTATATGTCAATCAATAGCTTTCCCCAACAAACAATGCGAGTTGAATAAAAGTAGAAGAAGCAAATTTTTTACTAAAAAAGCTCTTCTTCAATTTTCAATGCTTGTTGGATCAATCTCATGGATCTAATATTGGGCCCATCGCTCAAAATCTGCTATTAATCAATTTTATCTAGATGAACGCCTCATTGGGACCGTACTAATGGATATTTTGGTCGCTATTGAAAATGTAGACGATTGCTGAATTTATGTATGGGCCCAAATTTGAGGCATTTAGGCCGACATTACATCCATTTCCCCTATGTGATTAAATTGTAAACAGTTTTCGCCAACTCGCCCTCCTTTAATAGGAACACTGTGGCGAGCGCAGGGGTGTCCATTAGACTGATGCAAATTTTGACATTTTCGCTCCACAGTGCTCAAACGGTTTCAACCGTTTGCTGCTGCGTTCAGGCTGTTGCTGGTTCGAGGAAAGTGTTCGACGGAAGGCTGGTCCGGTAATACGGATTAGGAGGCGGATTGGTGGAGTGATACGAAGATAAGGTGGTGGTTAACATCCGCAGGTGATGCGCTATAACTTGCGTGACGGTTTCAATCGGTGGCGGTGATAGAAGAAGAAAGAAAAAGCGTGATTGAGACTGCTTTTGGCAGGATTGCTGCTGAAGGGGCGAAGGGTCTATGCGGGGAGGCCCAGTGTGCATATGTGTGCGAGGGGAGCGCAAGGGTAGCTGCGTTTAAGAGTGGAAATTGTGGATTCCACGCCGAACGGTAGCGATAATTTCGAGTGCGAGAAGGCAGGAAAGGGGAAAAAAAGAAGAAGCTGATAGTGCGGGGAAAATAAAAAGCCAAAAATATAGCGGCAAACAGTAGTGTGTGAGTGAGCACCCTAAAGGAATACAGAGTAAAGCGGTGGTGAAATTCTGTGAGACGAAGAGAGTAGAAAGAGAAGCAAAAAGAAAACGGTGAAAGAAAGCGGCAGCGGTTTTAATGCAGCGACAACCGATAGTAGGAGAGTGAGTGCCAGATAGGTGTTTCAACTTCTCGTATTTAGTAGGGGTTAAAAGAGAAAAAGAAGGAGAAGAACAGTGAAGTCCGACCGCAACGCGGTCCGCAAAAAAATAGTTTCCCTAGAAGCCCTTCAATTTAGAGAAGAGGAAGCAAGTGCTGAGTGGATGCGATGATGCGCGTTGGTGTCGGCCAAATGTTGTAAAGGATCGTGATCGGATTTACCGGGAAATACCGATTGGAGCTTACGGCCATTAAGGACAGGTAAGTAATTGGTCCATCAAGGTAAGATAAATTAATAAACATATAAAGTATCCGTTTGATTTTGGCAACACGTTCTCAGTATATTTAAACTGCTTGTGCTCTGCAGTTATGTTATTAAATTCTGTTTAATAATTTTCTTAGATTTTCAGTAAAATTGTGGAGCTTTAAACGTCACCTGCAGGCCTGTTCTGCGAGTAGTATGGCTCTCTGTCGCTAGTAGGGTGACGGTGGTCGCCTCGTGTGAGGTGACTCTTCATTTGATTGCACGGAGAGTCACCCCGCTAGTGCGTGACTTTTGTTGACTCATTGGTGGTGGAGATTCGCACGACTCGCGGAATAGGTCAGATGATAAGATTTGCATTTATTAAAGATTTTGAAAAGCTAAGAAGGCAAAATTGTGTTGACAAAATCTAACGGGTAATGCCGATATTAAAAAAATATATATATATATACACACATTAAATGCAAAGGGGAGGGATGGGACCACCAGGGCACCGGATTGAAGCGATTTGGATGGGGAGAGTGGAATTGCCAACTCCCTGTCATTAACATTTCGTGAATTGACGGCGGGCTCTTCTCCCCACTCATTGGGACGTTCCCTCGTATGATGGCTTGCTCTACATCGGGTTGTAGGATTTTATCATTGGAAGGCGATTCTCCTGATCCCGCAGATTGCGCGTAAGTGTATCTGCTTACGGGTCCGCCCCTCCGTTTTTGGCCCTTCTTACAATGGTAAATTGAATACAACCAGGTATCGTACTTGATCAAGTCATACTTGGAGGATGATCCACTGTCTAATGGCTGTGCCTTGCAACAATGAGTGGTATCCTTTACATACATACATACATACATACATACATACATACACAGTGCTCAAACGGTTTCAACCCGGGTAATGATTAGTCTCCCAAAATTTGAACTCATTTGAAAAGAAACTGACATAGCACAAACCATTTGAAGTTTATATGAAAATTACTGTGAGAAATCCAAACTTTTTGTTCATTGTCTTCTTACCTTTTCGCATATGGCACTGTTCAAAAATTCAAAAGCTATACTTATGGAAAATTTTCTTAGCTTCAACTTAGCAGAATATAGTTGTTGAGCCAAACGTCAAATAAAATAGTTACTAATTGTTTAAGAGATTGATAATCTTATGGCATGATCAAGCAACTGTTTTGTGAGCAACACTGTATCTTGCAGTGTGACATAGTAGCCATGATTTTTGTGCTCTATTCCAAGCGCCAGAAACACCAATGTTGCCTGCTGAACAGTTGATTGAGCATAATCGTAAGACATTAGTGGCTTGAATTATTGATAACTTTTGATGCTTACATTATATTGAAAAGTGATTCAGGACAAAGTTGTAGCTGAGAAAATTTTCTACGAGCACAGTTATCATTTTTTAAAGCAGAGCGATTTGGTAAATTGTTAGATGGATATGAACAAAACATTTGGTTTTCCTATAGTAATTTCCATATAAACTTTAAATGGTTTGTGCGAAGTTAGTTTCTTATCAAATGAGTTCAAATTTTGGGAGACTAATCAGGACCCGATTTGGAACCGTTTGAGCACTGTGGAGCGAAAATGACAAAATTTGCATCAGTCTAGTGTCCATGCATTCCCTCCAAATTATTTAAAGTTCGCATCCCATGCGCCCTCCACATATATTAAGCTATCCAAACAATCGTAAAATGTATGTAGACATCCCACACTCCCTGTTATTTGCAATTTAATCTTTCTATATTTTCAAATAAGAACGATAGTCACTTAATCCACCTACTACTTCTAAATCATCTAACAAATCATCAAGTTTTTATCGACACCCTAAACGCCCTGCTGTTACAGTTCAACCTCCAAACTAATTTTTTTAGAGATCTGCGCCCTTCTGATACTTCAAAGTCATTAAAAAAAAATCAGCAAATCTTCTAAAGACACCTGAACGCCTTGTTGTTGCTCAACCTCCCAAGATTTCAAAAGAGATCAAAACCCGAGCAAAGTTCAGCATCAAAATGACAGCAAATTGAAATCGAGATTTGATATCAACATCAAACTGAAATCATAAATTAATTTCAGTTTACGCAATTAACATATTTGATACCAAATTTTGTTATCATTTTGCTGTACATTTGCTCTTCAAAAATATGTTGTTGTGGGTTTGTTTTCATTGCTTTAGCATAACATCAAATTGAATACTCGTTATCAACAGGAAAAATTGATATCAAATTGAGTTTTCAGTTTGTTCTGACTGATAGCAGAAATAGTTTTCAATGTGATGTCACAGGAAGATTTTTTTGCTCTCGATTTTGATATTTTAAAGGTTAAAACGACCAAAATGACAGCAACCTGAGCAATCATTATCAACGAAATCACAACATCAAATTTAGATTTCAATTTGATCTCAGACTTTGCTCGGGAAGTCACCTAGAACGTCTTGCTGCTTCTCAAAAATCATCCACAATATCAAAAATGTTCTGTAGACACCTCAAACGTCCTGCTGTTTTAGATCAAACTAACATAATTTGGTGATCTGTAGTCATCCTCAAAGCTG